TCCCATGATGATTGTTAATTGATAATAAAATTAATTAATAATTGATTATCTAACCAACATTTCTGATTTTAATTCGCTACTATTTATATTATGGTTATTAAAGCCTGGAAATATAAGAAAACAAAATTTACTAATTTATAATAATAATAATAATAATGATATTGTTATTGACCAGAATGCGAAGTAACTATCTGATACAATCACACAACCGCTGAACTTATGAAGTAAAAATGAAGTATGTATGTATAGTAAAAACCACTGCACGACATGATATATCATACACAGGCACATCATATACAAATTATATTAGGTATATGGTTTACACAAAAAAATAAAACGATATTTTAAATTCAAATTTGTAAATGTAGCTACTGTTGGTGGAATTATGACAAATATTATGAAAAACTAAAAATAAATGTGGTAAGGACAATGCCAGCATATCAAGACATGGAATTACTAGGGGAATACTCTATACTTGCTTATGCGGACGACATTGTGGTAATGGGTAATACACGCATCGAGGTAACCGCAAAAACCGACGATCTACTTAAAGCTGCCAAATGTATGGGCCTTAAAGTTAACCAAGACAAAACAAAATATATGGTCGTCAGCAGAAAAAATGAGATGGTAGCTGATCTAAGTGTCGGGGAGTACACTTTCGAAGCGGTAAACGATTTCAAATACTTAGGTACTAACATAAATAAGAACAACAATATGCATAATGAAATAAAATTAAGAATCTCAGCAGCCAATAAAGGTTTTTTTGCATTAGTGAAACTTTTTAAATCTAAACTCCTATCTAAAAAATCAAAGATCAACTTATACCAGAGCTACTTACGCCCAGTCTTGGCGTATGGCTGCGAAACGTGGTCGGTGACAAAAGGAGACGAAGAGAAACTGCTAATCTTCGAAAGGAAAATACTCCGCCGAATCTATGGTCCTATCTATGAAAATGGAGATTATCGAATAAGAACAAATGGGGAGATATACCAGCTATTCCAAAAACCAAATATAAAAGCATTCATTAGAAGCAAGAGACTCGAATGGGCTGGGCACTTATGGAGAGAGAATGGCATATGCAAGCAAGTTCTGTTGGGCAGAATCAATGGTAGAAGACCCAGAGGCCGCCCTAGACATAGATGGATGGACACTATAAAATCAGACCTAGCAAAGATTGCACCAGAGACAGAACTAGCAGGAAGTGAAAATAGAGAGAAGTGGCAAGAAATTGTGGAAGCAGCGAAGGCCCTCAATGGGCTATAAAAGCTAAAAAAAAAAAAAAATAAATAAATGTAAGAGGGCTTAGAACCCAAGCCTCATAGCCCATACCCACCTTAATTAAATCTATGCTGATGTTACAATTATACAGAGCCCAACTTAGGGGGGGGCTAGGGGGCTTCAGCCACGGTCCCTGATATTTAATTATTAAAGTGGCACTGTGAAAGGTTATGATTAGGGCTGGGATTTCGATGCACTTTGCATTGTTTTTCAAAGCTTACTGGGCAATGCTCGTCTTGTCACAAATTTGTTTTATGTACATTTGATTGAGAATAAGAAAGTTTATTTTGCATTTTTTGGCATTTTTTAGTTTTTAGGTCATTTTATTAATTTTTTAGCCCTAGTTATGATATTATTGCTCACGTAATTACGGGAAATCACTAACACATTTGATTTTTCAGATCTAATTCAAAGTTTAGTGAATCGAAATCTAGAAAAAAAACCGTTGTCTTATATTCTAAATCATGTACATTTTTATTATTTACGTCGACTAGGTATGTTGAAAAATGCATTGTCACTATGACTTAGTGTATTGTGTATATATGTAAACATTAGTTTAAATTAAAAACTGTATCTACACTACTTTACTTATATTTATATTTTTAATTTCATCGTTTTATTTATATTAATCATCATTAAATAATTACGTATAGACTTATGGTATAATTTATTTATAATCTTATAAAATAAATTGAATATGAAAAATCCAAAAAGCAAAAAGACTGCATTTATAATTTAAGTTGATATCGTAGGATTTAGATAGTGTTTAATTTTGGGACTCCATCAAAAAGTTATACCCGGGCCCCAAAATTCCTATGTTGGGCTCTGCAATTATACCCTATTTATTTTATAAACCTGCAATGATAATAATTGAACTATTTGCAGGTAATCATATATTATGTACTACAAATAATACTTTTAGATTCAGAGTAGAGAATGAATATATTGATTTTACAATGATGTGGTAGTATATTTACTTTTTTTCTGACTGTCGTCAAAATTTGAGATGGTGAAAATACTCCAATAATCGACATCAGCATTTTTTCTGATAGGAAATTAAATTAATTAAAATTAGTTAAAATTATATAACTTATAATTTAATCTCAAAAAAATTTAATAAGAAAAAAGTAACAATTTAGTGTAAAAAAAATTATTAGGAGTGTTTGACCAGAACGTTTATACTACTAGAAATCAGAATGATGATAATATTTTAAAAAAACCTGATTAAATAATTATTGTTCCTACCAAAATTAAAATATAAATTAATTAATATACTAAAAACATTGGTTTTTAAAAAATTTGTAAAATATAGATAAATATAATCATAATACACCAATATTCATCTCGAATGTTTAAAACGCCAAAATTATTTACTCAAAGTCTTCCGGCTTTCAAAGGTACCTACCTAATGAAGATAATAACAGTGCATTTTCAGATATATTTAGTCAAAAAATAAGAGATTGTTACTACAGGTAACTACTAATATTTATAAATACATCAACTATAAAATATAGTATATGCATTTATCACATATCTTATTAAGTATTGTCTTTTTTATGTTTATTTAAGTATAAATGAACCACATAACATTGTGTGTAAAAATAAGTGGGCGATCGTATACTATATTCAACGGGCCGCCGGGCTTTTGACGCCGCAATTCGGTGCCGCCACATCGAAAATTACGACCCGGGAGTATTGACTTAACGAATACAGCTACCTCCCTAACCTTTGAGATATCGTTGGACGTCAAAACTACAACACTCAAGCTGTTTTTCCGCTGTAACGAATACTGCATTAAACACTGTTTAAGCGATTAAATTCGTATGAGTCGTGTGTAATAAAACCACGAATCGCATTTCCTCAGGTACCTACCAGATGTGAATGTACCACGATTTCCATCAATGGTTATGTACATATTTTAATCGATTTGGTGTACACGCCGTTTGAATACAATTTATTCAAAGTTAATTTAAACTACCGTCGTGATGTGACGGTTTATATCACATATAATTTATAAATGTAATCACAGACATGTCGGTAGCATACAAAATGCGAATACACGGCAAATTCTGACATATTTTGTTAAAAAAAATAAGAGATTTTACTACATGTAATACTAATACATGTACATATTTAAATATATAATCAAGTATAGATGATATTATCTGATTTAACAACATCGACAGACCTACACACCTTACATACATAATATATACAATGACACGTAATAGGGTGCTTATTTTGATAGTACAGTGAAACCTCTATATAGTGGACAGCCACGGGGAATTAAAAATTGTCCACTATAGAGAGTTGTCCACTATTGAGAAAACCTTTACTTAGTGGACATTTTCAAAAAATTACTAAATGTCCACTATAGGGAGACACTATAGGAAATGGGCTATATGTACACTGTATACATATGAACATATACATTGGAATATTAATTTTCTAGAAATAAAATAATTTTTCTATTGTCCATCTCCATTTTTCTGTTAAAACACATTAGCCAATCTGTCATTAAATCTCGATTCATCCATGCCTTATGGTTAGCTTTCCAATTAACACCTAACGTTGATACATTTACACTTTTGAAACAACGTGGTTTTAGTGATTTTCCAATTATTAACGGAGTTTCAAATTCCCCGATCATATTTACACATAGTAAAACAGTTAAGCGATCTTTAGCTATTTTACCTCCACGACAAATTTCGTTTTTTAAACACAATGTTTTATCAGGAAGTGCTCGAAAAAATAGCGTAATATTTTTTCAAAATAACACGCATCTTGTAAAATGTTATTCACCTATATTTTTCATTAAATTATTTTTAGATAAATTAAAACAAAATATGTATGTACATAATTAAATATTTAAATTTTCCTGTGACTTGCTTATGCAAAATCGTTCTGCTAAAACACGAACACTTAGATTTTCTGTTTCCTTGGTTTTAAATATAAACGAATATATAACAGATAAATATAGTGTTTTTATTAAACGTTTTCGATATGTACATTTATTGTGTCCATTTATGAGAGGTAATTTTTAATTTGGTACCAGTTTATTGTGTCCACGTCCACTATTAAGAGTGTCCACTACTAAGAGGTTATAACTCCTATTATGCGCATACATTTTTGCCGGGGAATTTAGAAGTGTCCACTATTGGGAAGGGTCCACTATTGAGAGGTGTCCATTAATAGAGGTTTCAGTGTTTCACTGTATATAATACATCTGTGGCTTACACGGCCACATTATTATAAAGCAATTAGGGTAGTGGATTGAGAATGATGTTAAGCGCCACAGTCGTATATGCCTCTATCTTTCGAAAGGTACACATAATTGAGATGACAATTAACAATTCACACTATTTAAATTACTTTTATTATTTTAAAACAAACACAAAAAATATGAGACTCAGCCAAACATACGGGCCTTACAGACCCGCACTGCCCACCGTGCTTACGTGCTTAAATATAACTTTACAACATTGTTAACTCTGCTCATTAGCTTTATTGATTGATTAAAATTATTACAAAAACGTCAAAAACGATATTGTCTTTATTTTTATTATTCAATTTAACTCTTGTGCGCACGAAATTGGTTGGCACATAGAACACACGTCGTTAGCTGTTTACAATATTTTAATTTTCGAGTGAGTGATGATGATGAACATTTTTCAATTACATTGAACATTTATATTTGATAATTTGGTTTAAACCTAACTTATTTACTTTTATTTTGTGTACAATTAATAAACTTCTGTGTAGCGTATAGGTACTTGCATAATAATAATAATAGGTATATGAGTTTGTTGTGTGTTTGAATTAGAATTACAACCTATAATATTTATATTTTATTATACTTATAGGTATCACAATGAATGGTGTGCTTAATATTGCCCTACCGTTTCAGTAATTGCGTATTATAATACTCCACAGAACCTGACAATAAATAACTGAAAGTTAACTAAAAGTGTGAGGTGATACATAATACTTCCTCACATGGCTAACTAATATAATATTAATAAGTAATAGCTAATATAAGGTTCCCTTAACTACATTACAGTACCTACTACCTACCTACTCAGATAATAATAAATATTGCATAATGCACATGTCATATGATAGGTTATGACTAGAGACCGGAATTATATGCTTTAAAAAGTTGATAAATATGAATGAACAAAATGGTAAAGTATTATGAAATATTATTTTCTTCATAGTTGTGCATACATTTAGTATGGATATGGAAATGCATATAGTTTCGGTCTCTAGTTAGGTATGACTTATGAATATTGAATACAAATACTGAAAAATATTATACTGATATTATATTATTAAGTAGGTATAATTTTATCAAATCGGTTTTTCCCATGGTCTTACAAGATTGAACTCAACAACCCCGCAGCCGAGTACTTTTTTTGCTTCATTTTTTATTTTAAACAATAGTTTATATTTTCCATAAAAATACACTTTAGGAGAGTTATGGTCTTCTAATTCCTTCACGTCAAGTCCTGGTGTAGTAAATATGCCCTGAAAACATTAGACGATATATTATTACAAATACACAGTAATTTGAAAGTGCAGTATGAAGTGTCACTTTATTTATAATGTTTTCAAATTTGGTTGTATGATACTACAGTTTGGAGTAAAATTGATAGAATATTATATAATAATTTAACATAAATCTTCAAAATTTGGTTTCCCTTAAAATAATAAAAACATTAAACTCATTAATTTATGATGTTATATTATAAATAAATAGTAAATCAAGATGTCCCTATGGAAAGTGGGTTAGGTTAGGTTAGTATTTTTATTTTCAACAAAACCTCAATGTGACTTACATACTTAAAATCAAAAATCGATTCCCTTATTATGTTGTAATTCTAGATTAATTTTAAAGTATTGCTTATTAATATTAATACCACGAACCACAACCGTTCCACGGTAATAGTACCTACGCTATATAATATTACGTACATTGCGACGAGCAATGTTCTCAAATATTCCCACCCGCGTGCAATCCCGAATATTCTAATGCCACCCCGACGTGTTTCAATTAGACATTATTCGGTAATATTCTGTTATTATTATTCGTCGCTGCAGCCTACAGGTCTATTTAACAGTTTAAGTAATTCGTTAAAGGTAGTTTTTATGCATGCATTTTTAATACTGTTTCTAATGAGTAAAATCCGCTATCTCTGTCACCTGATACTTGTAGGTACTTTCTGTAGTTCTTATATTAATTTATAATTATTTATATACTATATAATATAGGTACTAGCATACTACTAAAAAGTTATTAGAACATACTATTGACCACTTCAGAGTTTTAATTTCTGTATCTTTTCTGGTGGAAAAGTGAATCTAATCAGAAATTTCGAGAGGACAAAATTGAAAATTCAAAGTAGGTTTCAAAAGCGCCGAGAAAGTCGGGGATTTTTGTTCAAAACCGGTTTTAGTAAATGTAACTAAAAAATTAATGACTGTATGTACTCTACGTTTTTAATTCCTTTCGAGCTATTTTTAGGCATGAGTATAATTTTCAAAATGTATTACTGATCAAACACGGATCAGTTCTCGCACTTTCGAGCCTGCTCGTTTGTCCTCCAGACTGCGGCGCACTTGGTGCAATTTCAATTATTATCGCGTCGGCCCATACCTTTCTGCTGTCGAAGTCGGTCTGTTCATTTCCACGTGGTTGCCGCGGGCTGGGCGGCTGGCACAATAAATGTTGACTTTTTTCTGCGGCCGTGCCTGACGCATCGCACGTCGGCTAGCCGCCGAGTGCTGTTTTTTGTGCAGCAAGACCTTTGTGCTTTTTCGGAGGACGCCTGTGTGTTGACGTTAAGTCGTCGTTCCGCCCTAGTCGGCCCTCGTGGTGTTATATTGCAGAATATTATAGTCTTCGTTTTTGCTTGATGTCAAACGACCTAACTCTACGTGACCTACTTCGCGAATGTTGCCTTTGGACGTGACTGCAGCCCTCGAGCGGTAACATGCCTCACTCGTCTCGTTCGAGCTGCGACTTCAATCCTGATCCAGCAGCTGCACCCAGTCTCCACTCGTGCCATCTTTTGTATTGTGTGTTGTCAGTGGTTGCTGCATTGTTGTTATTTGTATTTGTTTCTTATTCGATCATTGTCGATACGTATTATTATATATAACCTCGGGCGCCCTATTTGCTAGGCATATTATATGTGAATTATATATATATATATATATATATAGGTATATGTGTATTTGTTTTTAGTGATACTATACTGTTCTCACAGTGTGTATTGTGCATTATTTGCCATAATATTAATATTATTATACTATTTGCCTTGCTTGTATAAATACACCTATTTGTTTTGTTATTACTTAGAACCGGGTCACCAGACATCCTAACCTGCTGTGATTTATTTCTATGTTTTTTGTTATTAATTATTATTCAAATCATGTATTATACAACAACTTAACCTTGTTACCATTTTTTATTAGTTTTAATTGTAAACACACCCACAGGCAACACACCTATACACAAATACACATATTACATAACACGCACTAAATTGTTCGACAGTAAATTCCCGGCAATCTCGACTACTAGATATTCGAGTTATTACACCACCATATACCCAGCTAGTCATCCATATTTTTAAGACCTAGGCGTTAGTGGAGTGTAAAAGGAAGTTGGTGTACAGGCACGCATATTACTAATGTACATTCCCGGTCCTTACAATGATATTACATCATTGAATTCAAATCGAATACTAACCATTGGAGTAACCCACATGCCATCAATGTACCTTTATCACTACATCAGTAGTTAGTATAGTTCCCATTTATCATCTTTTAATTTGTGCCTGAGCAGTAGGTACACGACGAGTAGTCGAAATAATTATTTGATTTCCAACTTTAGTACTGGTAAGAATGTAAATCTAATTGGTGCATTTAAGAAGTAAAAATGGAATATTCCCAGAAGTTTTCAAAAGCGAAATTTCTAATAATTGTTAGTTTTTTTATCACTATTGACTATAATCATTTTTTCTCTTATTCAGAAAGTTGAAAATGTAATACATGGTTCCTCTTCAGTTGTTCTCGGTTAGGTTAGGTGACAATTTAAAGTGTAAATTCACAATAGTTTTCTATAGTTCAACTTCGATTTGAAAAGTTATTGTTAATAATCAATTGCGAAAAATTATTGTTAGACCCAAACGGAGGATAGCTTAAAGCTTCATATTATACTAGGTATTCTTATTAATATTAATTCATAGATTTTCTAGAGATAAAAATAGTTAAATCCATGTTTTAATATCTAAACAACTAATTAACTGTTTTTATACATTACCACTGGTAGAGGACAACTTGTAGAGGGAACACTAAAAGTCTTAATCATTGCATACCAAGCATTTCCTAGTACTTTCTTCAAACTACTACATGCATTCTTTGATATATAAACTGCTGAATTTGGTTTCCAACCTCCAATTAAACTCCATGACGCAACGTTTGCATCAAGCTACAAAAAAATAGGTGTAGTACATTTTTCAAGTTGGATAAACTATATGGACATTTACAACTATTCAAGTGGAAACAACATTTTTTTCATTCATTCAATTATACATTATATTCATATTTTTAATTAAAAAGCCAAGTATTTGATGAAATAATTTACTGCTATTTCTTTATTTTTATACTTTTTAAGAGTGATTTCTAAAAATTATTTTTTAGATTGTGAGCGGAGCGATGAATGTATTGATTTTACAATGATGTGTGTTTTTATATTTATTTATTTATTTATTTATTTTGTTTGTGTCTGTCATCAAGGTTTCTTGGGAATTTTTACGCAAGACCATTTTTCAAAAAAAATTGATTTTGGTTTTTAGTGTAACTCTATCAAAATATTTTGATTTGTGTTGAACTTTTTATAGGCATATTAAATTTTCGATTATTATTTGTTTTTTTTTAACTTGTGGCAATTTTCTTATTTTGTTGTAATTCAAAAACAAATTACTATAGACACTTGAAATTTACACCAAATGTTTATTTCATCAATTTATATATTTGATAACATTTTCAAAATATTTTGACTTGTTTTCAGCTGTTGACGGACATTTTCAATTTTCATTTTTTTCTATAAAATGCAATTTACAATGTACCTTTTTTATTACCTGAAATGTCTGAGCAAAACTTACAATAAAAGAGGTTATCGCGGGCACGGCGATAACTTCAATACATTTTCCCAAACAATTAGTTATTTTGTAGCTATTTATGTTATAGTGTTATCAGATAAATACAATATGGCCTCCTTAATTACTTCGATACTTCAATAATTTATATCACGTATACAATAATTTTTTTATTACGTTTTCTTACTTAGTGTAAGGTTGTGTTTGGTTAGGTTCTTACTTACTGTAAGAGTATCGTCGAAAGGTATCAAATATGTTATATTCCCTTTTAACTCAGTTTTACTTGTCGTCTTTTTACTAAAATAAACGTCAAATTTAATTGAATGGCTTGCTGTCGATTCACAAGGGTATATTTTTTCAAATACCGTACGGTATTCTCCCTGTAATAAGAGTAATAAATAAAAACATTATACATTTTAATATAAATCTCATAAATAAATTATGCTTCTCAATGATAATCATAGATGATTCGTAATGTATTTAATAAAACAAGTTGAATATTAATTTACCAAAGGCAAGTTGGGCATAAAACTTTTTTGTGATTTGGCCAAGGAAAAAATTCCGAAAAGAACGAATACTTTTGTATAGTTCATTTTTAAAGATATTTACTTCATTTCAACAATAAGAATGTATACAAGTTATGTATGAAGTATAAACTATATTGCTACAGTATGAGAGATTGTCATGCTTGTTGTCATGCTTGAGCTGTAACCTCTGAAGGTTGCCGGAAATGTCTATGTAATTATAATATTATATTTAATCGGGAAATAGGATATAGTAACAAAATGGTTCCGGAAATTACATTTTTGCACATTGCAACTGAATGATACAAAATGTATTGAATTAATTAGATGTGTTACTATTTGTTTCTAATAGTATATCGAAGAACATTTTTTTAATACAATTTAAAAACAATTTTCATACAACTTTTGGTGAATACAGAAAATATGATTTAAGTTATCATTAATAAGTAATAACCTTAGTCTGAACTCTGAACTGTTATAGAACAAATTATGAAACCATAGTACTCAGCACCCGCATTAACTGGAACCCCTAACACTCCTAAAACAATTAAAAAATCATACACCTGGAACCCATATAACCTGAATGGTTCTGCTTTCAAAACACCTGAATTAACAACTGTTGTAATTCATTTTTACTAGTAACTAGAAGATATATTTGATTGGAATAAGTAAAATGTTAAGATTAGATACACACAGAGATACCTTGTTATGAGTATTTTTTGTTGTTGAGTTACAGAGACTTAATCCTTAATAAAGAGGTACACTCGACATCTGCTTTACAGCAGAGTGGTTACCTACTTTTCCCATTTTTTTTAAAAATTAATTACCATGTATATTAGGTACATTTTTAACTATAGTGTATTCTCCCATCTCATCTATTTTGTCTTAGGTTTAACGTATAATTATAACTTTTTCATAATATATGCACATTTTTAAATTCTATTAGTTTATTAGTTATTATTTATTTTAGGTTTAATTGTTATTTGCATTACAAAATATACCATTAATATAATGGCACTTATGGTGTACATAACATAGATACATTTTATTTTCTGTTTTGTTTAATCAGATAAGAGTTAGGTATTACATTTTCTGTTTGTGTAATTATTTCATCTAGTAAGTATAGTTAGATTTATATCTGAAGTTTCAAATTGAGGCCATTATGTCAAATTGTACACGGATATTTTAGACAAATTTTATGTTATTAAATGTGTGTTTTATTTTTACATTGTATTAGTAAATGGATATTTTTTTTATATTGTTAGTGTTTGTGTTTGTATTGAATCGTATTGTATTGTATTATATTATTTGCTTATCGCATACTCATGTGTTATTAATATATTATTAAGTTATTATTTCTTATTATTACTATTATCATTGTAATTATTATAATTATTTATATCCAGTTTTGAGAGTTATCTAGATGCATTTGTATAGTTGGAAATTATCTAATTAATTAACTAAGATAAACAAATTTACCTTTCTAGATAAATTTGTCTAGATGAGATTATTTGTATAAATTGTGCTATTTAAAATTATTATTTTATAAAAACTTCATATTATATACCTACATAAATTATAATTTCCCGGATTCATATGCTCTAAAAAGCTCAGAAGTATGCACTTAAAAAGTTTAAAATATGCATATATGCTCTTATTTTGTAGGAATATACACTATAAAACAAAAATTATGCAAAAAAAATCGATAAAAAAGTTTTATTTTCATTATTTTTTATATGTTTACATAAAATTATATTTAATTTTTAAATTTTTAAATTTATTTATATAAAATTCATTTTTTGTAGTTACCTATTTCAACATATTGTAATTTCAATTTGAAAAATTAATATTTAAAATTATAAAGTATAAATTAAATCAAATGAAAATAAATTACGCGCACTCGGAACAAGACTAACATGACTAATAATGTTTGATTTACGAAAACCTACTCAAATACAGATTACTACTTTCCCCGATAGGTCTCAGATAAGATAAGAAAACGACTTCGTCTAATTACATGGACAATAAATATAATAAGTAATTATTCAGTAAAATATTACATATTATGCATTTAAAAACCGATAAAAAAGCAAAAGAAATCATAAAATACAGAACATACAGTATACATATCAAAAATTACAAAATATGCAAAAACAAGCGAAATAAAACTTTCCATTACAGATCTATTGACTATAATTCAAATTTGTAGCTTACCTAACTATTTTTTGGACTGTTTAGAAAAAACATACAAAATACAAATGCATGTAAATCCGGGTCCTAAATTAATAATAGTATTTATTAACATCAAACAAAGTATTCTTTCATTTAGTAATTCATATTATTAATTATTATATCATTTTAAGTAGGTATATTTAAATTTAAAAATGTGTATTATACTATGTTATTATGTAATTTATACTTTTTACTCATAATAATGTCTATTAAAAACTTTTATTTAAACCTATTATCTGTGTTTAAACCATATTCAAGTAGTAGCAAGGAGCAGATAGGTACTCTTAAAGAGTTTGATTTTATATAATATCTCAATTTTAATTCCATGTAATAATTATCTGGTTTGGATTGTAGTAGGTTTAATAAATTACAAACCACTGCTGAATCTTTATTTACTTATTGATAAACTGACCAATTTTTAAGTTTATTCAAAAGCTTAAATATTTTATATATTATTCCTTAAAAGCAGTTTTATGGCTGAATTTTTTTCACTGTTTCGAATGTGTATAAATGACAAACTAAAAAGTTACGACCAAAAATAATAATACATTTATAATTATTTATCTACAAGATTCTTTGAAAATGTTGTCGACAATTGAACTTAAAATACTTATGAAAAAATCGTGTCTATGAATCTTTAATATTTTTCAATTGCTGTTATAACTACTTATGAGAAACTTTATATTATATTTTCAAGCGTTAAACCTCACGACCAAATAAACAACCTCTAAGCAAGGCTCGGAACTGTATGCATTTGAATATTTCTTAGGAAATAGTACATACAATATATAACAATCTAAATACAAAAATTTGTGTCGTATAGTTTTGCATAAATGACTAACTTTACATGATTTCGCACATTTTAAGATTTTAAGTATACAAATCCAGGGGCCTTAAACCCGCTGCCCGTCCTGTCATAATATGTGGCCAGCGATCACATTTGAAATTTAGCATGTATATTTTCTATTTCGATAAAATTATAAGGGCTAAGCCATCGCTATCGGAAATATGCGTTAAGATAAATACATAAATAATTTGTAATTTGTAATTTAAGATATAATTATAAAAATTGTTATAATAAAACTGCATTTTTGTATAAAATACATGTTTTTACTACGAATGCAAGATTATTAAAAAAATAATACGTGACTGGCCCCCTGCATAAAAAGGTTGAAGTCCCCTGATATAAATACATTATATTATGCCAGCAAATCATAGATTTAAAAATTTAAAAATAAAGAGCCACCACACATCGTCTCTATTTTGAGTATTATACTATACCAAAAATTGATTTCAATTTATTGATGCAGTAAAAACGGGGTCTAGGATATTTCGCCGCCACCGTTTCGACTCACGAAACTTCGAACCTACACCATCCCAATTTCGAAAATATATTCATAATTTGCTTATTATATAGATTTGTAATGAAAATATTATCCCATAACCTTATTTTATCGTATAAAATAATTTATTTCATTGATTAAAGTAAGTCGAATCGTGTGAAAGAATCCAGTAGCTTACTTAGGATTTTACTGCCCTGGCCCCTGGGTAAATATTTTTTGTAATGCTCTCTTTCCCCTGCCCCCGGTTTCTTATAGTTGCGATTTTTCTCATCAATAACAAAACTTACAACACATGTGATATGGTAATAGTATCATGCAGTTTAAAAATCTATCGAATGTCCCAACCCTCAGTGTTGAATATCATATAGATACTCTCAGTAGCAACTGTGATAACAAAATAACTAAAGCAAATTGCAAATTGCAAAATACATATTTTATTTAATCTATTTATGAAACAGTGAACGTTTTAAAAGTTAATACTTATCTCTTGAAGTAATTGATAAAAGACGCATAGTGAATTATGGCCAATGGCCATTTCTAATGTACTGAAAGAATTATAAATATTTTTTAATAAAAACATCGATGAAAGCCACACAATGGTACGTATACGGCCTTCTTGCATTAAAATCATGGTTAAAATCAATATAAACATTTTTAGAAAACGAAAAAATCGTCCAATGATAATAATTTATAATTTATAAATGTTATGTATCTTCAGTTATATTTTGTTAGAGTTACACCAAACAATCAAAATCAATTTTGTCTAAAACTGGTCTTGCTTAAAAATTTCTATTTATTCTTAATTTGTTTTTGTTTTCCTCGTCGCTTTTGAAAACTCCTGGGAATTTGAAAATCGAATCATCATTTCAACTATTTTTCGTGTATACAGTGTGTACTATATACCAGTGGCGTATCCAGGGGGGGGGGGGGG